CAGAGCCCGACGCGGGGCTCGAACTCACGGACCGCGAGATCGTGACCTGGCTGAAGTCGGACGCTTAACCGACTGCGCCACCCAGGCGCCCCAGTCCTGTGACATTTCATGGGGATGTAGGTGTGTCGATGACGTTAATTTCACCGTTAATGTCGCCCCATGCTGAGCTCCATCCGAGGGGGTCCTAGAATGTGGTCTTCGTCTAAGCTCTGAACTACACCTAGTATGGTGTCAGTGGCATTATACTTCATGTAAACTCCACAGCTGCTTTTCTTTCCCTCCAGGATTCAGACTATGAAGAGACATATTGATGAGAGGCTTCATGATGTAAGAAGAGTCACCTGATAGACAATATCCCGTCCCACTGGCAGCTAAAGCCTCTCAGAGAATCGAAGCTGCTTGGATCGCTGTGCCGGAGGATTCTGGAAGCCATCCGTAGAGACGTTAGGAACCATTTATTTATTGAACAACTGTTCTTTTTATATTTATGAACTGTTCAAGAACTCCCAGAAGAAACTCCTACCTACCCCTTCTAATAACTTATGCTCTAATTGAATGAAGGAATTCTCTTCCTGAATAGAAAGAAACTCTTTGTTTTTGCCTTTGCCCTTGAACGTGTTACGTGCTTTCTTCTGGTTACTTGAGGGAAAATCCTAAATGTTGGCCACACCGCTGAGGCCAAAATATTTTTGAAAAAATGAAACGGAGCTTGTAGTGTCCAGATGTGCGACGAGACGAGATGTTTGGGATAAGTATTCTTTGGCATTTGCTCCGTGAATGTTTTCAGCTGCGGATCAGCGCACAGCATGTACTCATTGGTTTAATGACATCATCCGTTGTGTTCGGGTGACTCGGAACTCTAATTTCCATAGAGTCGGTAGGGCCCGGAGCCCATGGTTTGCTTTGACTGGGCTTTTAAAGTATTAAAGTGTGGTCAGTGTCCAGTTAAGGAAAGGAACGGTGACGTACAGGGATCCCTTTCTTTTGTGTTGCTAGGTGCAGCTTCGAAAGGTTTTTTTTTTTTGTGGGGAAATGTATAGAATATTTTATCAGTTATTTGCAAGGAAATCATCTTTTTTTTTTTTTTTTTTTTTTTTTTTTAACAAATGCCACTCCAGAGTTCAAATGTTGGATTTACTTTAACGAGGCTTATGTTTATCGGAAATCATCTTTTGACTTTTGTTATTCTTCAGAACTTTTTTGAGTTCTAAAATGCGCCAAATATGAGTGAACCAAGGTATTTGCAAACTGTTTTTGTTTATGTCGTATTTGACATAAGGAAGTGAGGTCTATACTTCTCTATAGTCTACACTTCTCATTTCTATTCTCTCAGTACCTTATATCAGCTTCCTCCATTTTCCTGCAGCAACTGATTTCAAATTTTAATTTACATGGGATTTTCTACAAGCCATTAAGTAATACGTGTGACATGTCCAGAAGGGCTGATAGTATAGTCCTCTGTAAAAGAGCGATAGAGTTCACTTCTCGATTATGAGAGACAAAAATTATCCTCCCTCCTCCCATCTTTGTTTTTTGTTTTGTTTTGTTTTGTTTTGTTTTCCCATGGTTCTTCACTAGGTGGCTAGGGAGGTTTCCGTATTATAGCCTAATACGCCCCATATGTTACACAAAAAATCACTTTGCCCAGATTTATGTTTAAAATTTTGGGTCATTAGTTCTGGAAGTCATCAGTAAAGACTTTAAGAATTATGATATGGGTTTGGCCTGGCCTCTTTTGTTAATCTAGTCCATACATAAGAGAGTCTGGTTCATTAATAGATATTACGATTTACCTCTGGTCACGTAAGGAAGTGAAAGAGGCAAAGACACATTGACTGTTTATTTCCAGTGGTTGAGCCTCAGAGTCTTGGGCTGTTTGTCAAGTATATGGTTGTCTGGGGCCAGCCTGGTGACAGACACTCTGACACCACAGCAGAGATGGGAAAACATATTTGAGCAACAAGAGTAAATAATTTGGGTTCTGGGAGATTTGAAGATAGAGACCCAATTGTGGGGTAGACTTTTTGTGGGTCTGAGAAAGAGATGATGTGACAGGAACCCAGTTAAAACCGCATTTCATGAATTGAGGAACCGGGTTTGTCTGGGGTTTCTTGTAATTTCCTTTCAGGTGTGTTATGAGGATTAATCCAGTTGTAGTAAGCTTGTCACTGTAGGTAAAGGGTGCTGTGTGACCACTTGGTCATGTTATTTTGTAGCCTCGATCGTGATTTGAACAAGTCCCTTTCTTTTTAAGTGACCGAACAACAGCATCCTTCGTGGTAAGAGAGTAGACTGGGGATTTAGTCGTCTCCGTGGGTTTACGGTCGCACCAGTCATAAGACTTCTGTCAGCGTTCTTCTTTATCTCTTACATTGAGGTCTGGGTTACAGCCTTCCCCCCACCCCCAAAAGGAGCAAAAAGCAGTTCCTTTTTTTTAAAGATGGAAGAAAGATAACTTTTTTTTTTAAACGTACTCTTTTTAATACTTTCTAAGGTGCTATTCTCCCTCTCTCGTTTTCTTTTCGCTGCTCTGTATGCAGAACACATCGAATGAAGACCAGCCTTGTCTAGAAAGGGAATTGAATTCTGAAAGCTTCAGAGGGGGTTAAAAGCCTTTCAGAATTTTTCTTTGGCTGCCGGAGGCTTTCCTCGTGGCTACACTATCTTACAAGTTTCGTGCATTGAGCTCTCAATTCCGTTATCGAATGTGAATTTATGAAATGCTTTGTGTTTCCCACGGGTCCCCTTGCCCCAGGCTTCGTGGAGAAGGTACTAGGTCTCCGCAACTCCCAAATCGTGCGCTGGTGTTTCAAGAGGGAATGTTGAATGTTCCTGTTTAAGGAGAATGTTTGGAGGCCAAATCCTCGATCTGAACGTTCTGTCGTGTCACTCAGTTACGGTTCTAAAAGGGAGCCGGGAAGACCCCCGGAGAGCGGACCAAGACTGTCATTTAATTGCACAACTGGAAACTTCGCTGCCAGAAGAGGCAGCTCCATTCGTTCGATTCCTGCGTTGGACTGTTGTTAACCGCTGCATTTCACAGCGTTTTTGTTTTGTTTTGTTTTGTTTTGTTTTGCGGGAGAGTGTGCACCGTTGGGCCATGTGCACAGACGTTGTAACTCTTGATATCTTTACCACATCACAGTTAATAAACTGCTTTGCACTTTCTGGCTACTTTCTGGTGTGTATCTATCTGTAAAATGAGAGCTGTCATGTGAAAGGGGAGGAGGTTGTGGTTTTCAGCATCAAGCAGCCATTCGCGTCTAAGCTTTACCCCTGCAAGACCCTGCACGGATTCAGTGGGGTGCTGGAGCCAGTTCACCCAGCAAGAGCTGATCGTAAAATTTTTAGGAATTTTGCAAACTGATTGTTAAACCATTGGTGGCTTGAAATAGGCTGCGGTGGGTGTTTATGTAAGTTGCTGGCTTACCAGTACACTATTGCTCAAGAACCATGTAGCATAGGGGCGTCTGGGTGGCTCAGTCAGTTAAGCATCTGACTTCGGCTCAGGTCATGATCTCCTGGTTCATGAGTTTGAGCCCCTCATCGGGCTCTGTGCTGACAGCATGGAGCCCAGAGCCTGCTTTGGATTCTGTGTCTCCCTCTCTCTCTGCCCCTTTCCTGCTCACACTCTGTTCTCTCTCTCTCTCTCTCTCTCAAAAATAAGTAAACATAAAAAAAAAAGAACAGTGTAGCATAGTCCTTGAGAGGAGCAAGTATTCAACAACTTTTCAAATGATACAGGACAAGTTCCAAAAAACCATGATGGCTGTGTGTAGGTAGGTCAAGCCAACCCAAGCAAGGTTGAAGGTGTGTACAACTGAGAACACTTATTTTGAAGTGGCAACTTATTTTTTTAAAAAAATTTTAAACATTTATTTATTTTTGAGAGAGACAGAGCATGAACGGGGGAAGGGCAGAGAGAGAGGGAGACACAGAATCCCAAGCAGGCTCCAGGCTCTGAGCTGTCAGCACAGTGTCTGATGCGGGGCTTGAACCCACGAATCATATCATGACCTGAGCCGAAGTCGAACGCTTAACCGACTGAGTCACCCAGGCACCGCTGGAGTGGTGACTTAAAAGCAAAAGATAGTTTGAAGCGAAGAAGCTTTGAGTTCTTATCTACGATGTCCAAATCACTCAAGGGGTTCTCTGGGGGAATAAAATGCTACTTGCATTCTGGAAATGCTGATATCACATGGTCAGAGGACACCAACATGGAAAGCTGGAGGACTGAGCAGGCTTCTCTTTGGAAGCAGGGATTGGGTGATTGCCTGGCTACATTGCACCTATGTGTTGAGAGAAGAAAATAAAAGAGGTTGCTGTAATTTTCCTTTTATTATCTTATTTTATTTTTAAATTGTAGATAAAGCAAGCATAGGAGAGGGGCAGAGGGAGAGAGAGAGAGAGAAAGAGAGAATCTCAAGCAGGTTCCACACTCAGCTCAGAGCCCATCGTGGGCTTGATCCCGTGACCTTGGGATCATGACCTAGCTAGAATCAAGAGTCAGACACTTAACCAACTGAGCCACCCAGGTGCCCCTTATTTTATTTTATTTTATTTTATTTTATTTTATTTTATTTTATTTTGTCTTATTTTATTTTATTTTGTCTTATTTTATTTTATTTTTGAGGTTGCTGTATTTTAAACAGGGCAAAATGTTCTGTGTTCATCTTAAATCTATTGTTCTTTGTTTGCATGTAGCTGATTTCTCTCTTGGGGAATGTGTGCCTGATGCCTTTCAAGACCCCACCCTCAGAGAGCTCTCTAGAAGGGGAGACAGCCCCTGCTCAGGTCTGGAATATGAGGCTCTCCTCGGTAAGTTGAATGTATATCTTCTTTTTAGCATGAAAATATAAATAAAAATTGGGTCATGGGCCAGATAACTGAAATGAGAACCTTGATTTAGAGGTTCCTGTTTGCATCTCTGCAGCCACTTCAGAACGCACGCATTTGGTTTGCTCTGAGCCTGACCTTCTGTGCCGGCAGAAGTCTCTTCAGTCGGACTTGGGTACTGCAGATGTAGCGCAGTTCAGTGCTTGGCTTCCCCTCGGTGCGCCTCATCTTGGGTAAGCAATTGTTTCGTACTTCTTAAGCAGGGATTCACACTTTGCTCTCTCAGGAGAAGGCTTTAATTTGATGGCCACGTTTGCAGGGCTCTCCACCTCTGTAGGAAGAGATGGGTAGAAGGTAGCCTGGTGGGTGCACTTTTCCTTTCTGTGGGGTAGAGTTGCTTCTGTTAAGATCCTCAGAGAGAAGAGGGGTAAGGTCTGCCCTTAATGAAAGAGTAGGTGATGATGATGATGATGAT